GGGTTTCCAAAATATTCCAGAGACAGATCCTGAGAGATCTCAACGAATCCAGGAAGACATTGATCTTAGGCATTCTCATACTAAATAAGATCTTTGCATCTATCTAGCTTCCGTTACGTTAGTTGTCCTCGCATCCTAATATATCTTGTAAGTTGTGAAGTAAAATTTTGATTGATTTCTCCAAATAAATGAAACAAACAATAAATATTAATTATTCCCAGAGCGAATAGAATTTTCAAATAATACACACAAAATATGATGAAATCACTATGACGTGAAAATAGTTTTAAATTAATTTATACGAACTGGTTGATATATTTGGCAATCAACGCTTTGACTAACACATTGTAAGCTTTTTCTGTAGGATGATAACTATCCCAAAACACATGACTAGACACGTCGGAACATACAGAAGATGTGATTTTATTGCACAACACAGCAACTTCTATGGCTCCTGTTCCACAACATCCCTTGGTAGACACTCCAAATCCTGAAATAACCCAAAACATAACCTTAAAGTTAGTACATTTTCATATTGAAAACAAAAAATTTAGTTCAAGAAAATTTAAATGAAAATCTTGATGTATTACCGTATTTTGCAGGATACTGAATGATATCTGAAAGAGGGTTATAGATATCAATGTAGATCGGTTTGATACCGACTAGAGTTTGACGCAACAAATCCATTTTGTTGGAGAGCTTTGAATTGAAAAGCTTTGATGCATCGTTGTAATCCTTAGCACAATCTCTTAAAAGACCTCCACCCAATGTTCTTTGTGATGGTACACACCCGATTGGTGGTGCACTAAACACAGCTACTCGTCTCACTCCATATCCGTATAATTTCTGACAATTTCATTTTTTATACGATTTATCATTATGAATGTATTGGTTATATTTGATGAATTTTAACAAAACTCAACCTAGGCATCAATACTTAATCCATAAAATCAAAATGTTCATAAGTAATTCAGCAAGTCTCTGATAAATAAAAAGTAGAGGATGAGGCATTTACTACGCACATTTATGTTGTAAATAAATAACAACGCAATAATTTTTCTGAACCGTCATATTCTACGATGTACTAATCACTAGAGTATTCATCTCAATGAATAGAAGTATGAGTTGCTGAATATTAACTTTTCAAAAATAGAAATTTACTAGTACTATTTTTAGCAGATTCTTACTAGTTACTTTTGTTGACTTTTTCACTAATACTTGAAAACAATATTTCATTATTTTTTCTTGGTTAATTAGTACTATTACATTTGG